GGGGGCACAAACCTCCTGGATTCTAGCTGTGAGGTTGATTCGGACAACTTCATCCATTGCAGACTGGATTGTGCTCAGGCCGGGGATCTGTGAGCAGTCATGTTATACTTTTATTTAACAGGAGGAGGCAGCAGAACTCAGCAAAACAAAGGCAAAGCTTTTTATATCAATGTTATCCAAGGGCCACAAGGTCACAGTGAATGAATACATGGAATGAGGAATGATGAATAGTATCTATATGAGGAGAGGAGAGGATACAAGAGTTGACAGACTGAACTTATCAGAGATAGGAGTGTAGGAGAAAATAGAGAAGAACAGATGGGCGGAGGACGTACAGTATCAGCTGTTCAAACAAAGCAAGAAAATCATGTGTCAGTGTCTCAATCTGCGTCAGTGGATCTTTTATTACATAAATGATTCTTCCTGCTGTTGCTTCATGATAAAATCTTGTCAAACTCGGTGATGGGCTGTTTCTTTGTCTGTACAGTGTTTTTTTTATTTAAAACACTTAAGTTGACAGGAGTGCACAGAACAACCTCAATTAATTTCCCTGTATTGTTTAATTCATCCATTCAAGAAGAAAAAAACAGATAAATGTGATTCTACATACAAGGATGCATAAAATCAGGACTTACAGTGAGAGAGATGTCCAGTGTTAGGTTCTGTAGCGCTGGCCTCAGGGTTTGACAGATGAGACAGTTTGGTCTGGATAAAGTCCGATTGATGCGGTTTTTAACGTCGGTGATGTTGTCCTGGAGACGGTCCGTGCTGGACTGCAGCCGAGCCAATGATGAGTTCAGCTCTGTGAGTTCAACACTGATGTTTCTGGTCTCTGATCATGCAAATGAAAAACACAAATACTAAGTGTATGCACAAGAGTAATAATCATTTTAAAACATGTATCACCTACTTAGCTTGGAAATCAAAAACAGTGTTAAAAATTGAACAGGAAGCTCAGAATAAAACGGAGAACAAACAATCATTAAGACGATTTGTTATCCAGCTGCTTTTAGTAAAGCATTGCAAATATTTTATCATCACTGCACACAATGATGAAAGACACGATCAAAGGACACCTGCATACAGCCTTAAATGCTTTACTCAGTTAGAGAATGTTTACTGATGGGTGTGAGTGGCTGCTTCATCATATAGAAATGTTGACCCTGTGACGCACTGGCAAACTGTCTATTCTGCCCTGCCCCTCCCCCAATGCCAGCGGTGCTTGGCTACAGCTGAACAAGCGACATAGATAATGGAAAGAAGGATGGATGGTGTTCTATAGCCAAAGTACTAGCAAATATTTAATCATGGAGGGATCATAAAGCGATTAGGGGAAGAGAGTGTTGAGGACACTCCTTTTGTTTTTGTAACTATCAAACTGGAAGTGTAAATGAGTCACACCTTGTGCAGTTACAGTCAGTGGGGAGGGGGGGCACAATTAGAACAACTAGTTCTGTATTTGCATATTTACTTCCACCAAGGAAGTTATGTTTTCACCCCCTCTGTTTGTGTGTTGGGTGGTTTGTTTGTTTGTAAGCAAGATTCAACAAAAACTACCAGATGGATTACCACAAAACTTGTAAGGGTGGATGGAAGGAAACATGGAAGGATGCAGTATAGGTAAGGGAAGAAATCAAATAAATACATTTTGTGGGGATCCAGGATTGTTTTTCATTTATGTAGAAGCCACGATTATATTCATTTATTTATTCACGTTATTGTTGTTTTTATTTGTGTTGGAAAGCACACACCCTCCACACTCCACGGGTGGTGAGGGCGAGCATTGATATATAAGTTTGGTGATCATGACGCGTGAAGGACCTCAGCTTCATCTTCAGCCTGAATCTCAAAAGCAGATGAATGGTCTTTAAACATTTCGTTATCTTATTATGTTTATCTTTCAACTATCACTTTTGGATGCAAGACAAAAATGTGGTGAAACACAGGACATTGGGAAAATTCACAGTTCAGTTATAGTTCAAGTCCATTTTTAAGAGATGTTGCCACTACATTTAAAATTGCGTTGGAAATAATGACTGACATCTTTGAATGTGTGGAATTTGATGAAGCTTGATGACTTTAAGTAAACTTTTGGGCCTTGGAGGAAGTATGTGCTTTACTGAGTGCCATAATAATATAATCATGTTTTCTCTTCCTTTACTTTTTACAGGACGTGGCATGCAGGCTCACCATACCTTGATTCAGCCGTCTCACAGGGAGCAGCGCCTGGTCCAGAGTTACCTTGAATCGCTCCTGGATCTCTGTTCCCAGCTGAGGCCCGATGTCTGAGTCATACGCAGCAAAGAGAGGGTTAATATGGTGCCAGGAGAGCAGAATAAACACAAAGTGGTTCCACTGTTTGTACATTATTACTTTCCTGTTCCTACCGTCTAGGTTTCTGGTGACCTTTTGTATGGTTTTGTAGCTCCCATTCACCACGTCGTGAATTTGCTGGAGGGAAAAAAAAACTATAAGATATTGGTTGAAATGCAACATGTAGGACTGATAACATGAGCTAATTGTAAATAGTGGCTTCAGGATATTAAAAGTAACGAGTAAAACACAAGCATATCTCTCCCTCCGACCTTTCCTCGCTCTCTTGTGGTTGGAGATAAGTGTATTGACACTGCAGAGAACTGGGCTGCTAATTAATCACTGGAGCAACTGGAGAGAACTGGAGCTCTGTTTGCGTCTCACACAAAAGCTTGTCGATTCACAGCAGATTGATGCTCGGTTGCTGTGGGAAATAATGTGACCAGTCCCAAACAGACATCAGGATTATTCACAGTTCTGGTCGTAAGCGTTTGAGGATAAAGGAGTAATGAGTCAGCCAGTAGTGACAACTGCTGACTCACAGAGGTCCCACACATTTGACCTCTATACGATTCTTCCATCAACAAGAGGGTTTCTCTTACCTGAGGCACAACTGTGAGGAAGTTCTGGATGTTGTCTAAGGTTTTGTTGAGCTGCACTGGAGTTTCATCCACACTCACTTTGATGGCTTCATTGCTTTTGAACATGCAAATGTTCCCAGCACTATAAACACACACACACAATAACATAATGCAGAAATGAGGGAGATGCACACAGGCACTGAGACGCTCACATCCAAGCTATTTTCCAACACACATTGTTGATAACACATCATTACGGTGATCAAAGACATACACGAGAGCACACAAACACACAAACACACACACGCGTGTCTCTCTAACCCCCCTAACCCCCTAACCCTAACCTAAACCTAAACCTAATCCTAACCCAAACATAAACCTAACCCTAACCTAAACCTCTTCCTAACCCTAAAACCAAGTCTTAACCCTCAAAAAGTAAATTTTATTTGTGAGGACCAGCCAAAATGTCCTCACAATGATGGTATAGAACCAAAATTGGCCACCTTTTTTCTACGAGGACAAATTAAGAATATCTACATATATATATATTTTGGTCCCCATGAAGTCAGTGTTCATGCTGGAAAGGGTCCTAAAGCTGTAACAAAAATGAGTTCAAACACACACACACATTCACACTCACAGGATAATAAGTGTGGTGAAGAGTGTGCTCCAGTAGAGAGTTCTCCTGCGACAGTTGATGGAGGATGTCTGCTTCTGGTACATCGTCCCACCGCAGTTGCCACAGCAGCGACAGCACGCCAGGAAGAAGCCGACAATGGGCATCAGAACGATGTACAGGATGCCAATCGCTGCACATACCAGGAAACCCACTTCATACACCAGGACCTGAACACACATATACACACAAATGTGTATTGCCGCTAAAATAACACAAATATCAATTTCAAGTGACTGCGGCATTGTCTCATCGGTCTGTCTTCAACACAGCGAGTGGTTTCAATGTTCTCTGGTGACACTCCACAATCAGAGCACATGAGGAGGTTTTAGTTACTTCAGTCGGCTGGTTACGAACACACAAGAATGCTCCGACATGAAAGGGTCTCAGGTTTCCAGCCCGGGGAGATCTGAGGAGGGTGTGTCTGATTTTTTTCCCACATATATGGGACATGTGTGTAAAACTCATGAACATTCTCTTACTTCTTTGATGAGCTCTGGATCTGACAACACTTGTGGATAACTGTCGATGGTTTTCAAGATCAGATCTGAAAAGAAACAACAGAGGAAAATAGCTTAAATTCTTTCTCAGAAACAAAAGTTTTAGAGGCCTGGAAAAGCTCTTTGCAAATTACTACTTTCCACCACCAGCCATTCTCACACTTGTCCCTATACAAAAGCCCAGCCATGGGGACAACGTGTCCTGTGCTCCGTCCAAACATTTTAATCTCTCGCTATGTAAAACTGGAAATCTGACACCTTCATCTTGTGGTTACTAAGAAACAAGGGCGGCGGGAGGAGAGATTACATTTTCACGCACACACACAGAATAAAAAGAAACAAGCCCAACCTGCCCTCTATGGTCCCACCGAGCCGTGTTATTGTGGTCATTATTCACAAGGTGAGCAGGTAACTGAGAAGATTTGTTGTTCAGGTGTTCCTCACACAATCTCTTTTGTGTGGTCCTCACCATTTCTGTGTGTGTGTGTAACATCAGACGGAAGCATGACATAAATAATGTGTTTTTTGCCTCAACCTGAGGTATTTTATTTTGAAAAGCTTTACTTTAGCTTTATTTTCTCATTATATTAGCATTTTCTCATTAAGTGTTTTGTAGGGACAGTGCATACTAATAACAACATTGTAAATGTGCCAGAGTTAGACAAGAGGCTAATTTCCATCTCTGGCAAAGTGTTAAGTTGGCAGCCTCAGATAAGTTTTATTTAAAACAGTTATCATAATGTAGACATTATCAATTAGCTATAAGTAAAATATTGATATTTATTAGAGGATCTATCAATTTTTTTAGTTTCTTGAGAATTTTACAGAATGTTATGAAATCTAAAAATTGGTATCATGTGTAATTTAGAAGCAATACAGCATGTCAACTAAAGGTGCCAAAGGTGGCCCACAATAGTTTTGGGCCATATTCACCATTTACCACATGAGACGCTTTAGGTTTTAATCCACATTACACCTTGCAGAGAACAGCGCCTGATTTTCAAAAAAAGGTCCACATTTGCTTTGGGATATTTGGGCAACTTCACGGTTCACATCCGTATGCTATCTGGGTTTCATCTTTCTAGCTATTCAGTATAATAAATGTTGATCAGCAGCTTATTGTAATATCCTGTTCAAGGCTGCAGAGCGAAACACATTTATTTACTTAGTGATATGTATAACCTAAGGGTTACTTTTTTTTTAAGAAGCAGAAAACCACAGTTTACCATTTGCCGTGAAGCAATTTGCCTTATTTTCATCCAATGGCAGAACGTGTGTTTACAAGAGTTGTTGATCGACCTGCTTACTCACAAAGCTTTTAAAGTGAAACACAGTTTCTGCATGCAACATTTAGCGGCTATCATATGAAACAATCTCTTTATGTCAACACTCAGTCCACCATTACGAATGACTCAACCTTTGCCCAGATTCAAATGACTTCAGACAATGGCTAACAGAGGATTTTTTGTGTCAAAGTGTTAACAATACCGACCAGGAAATAATGTACGAAACCGAGAAGGGTTTACGGAGCAATTACAACAGAGCAAAGGTGAGTCTCAAGTTTGAGTCACAGGAGACGAAAATCAGAATTGGACACAAAGGTTAATGGTTGACAGGGGAAAAATACAGGAATTTCCTTAAACGTATTGATTTACCAGTCCCGTGGGCTTTTTGTATGGGCAGGGTCACTACAGAGCAGGAAAGGTTCAAATTGATGGTTTATATCTTTGCTCTTGTAATACAATGATGCCTAGCCCAGAGCACGAGAGCCAAAAGATTTTCACGTGATTTAAATTGAGCTAGAGCCGGGACAAAGTAGATGAGGAAGTAGACGGGGTGCGATCAGGTACGATGCAGCTGAATGTGACAGGAGAGGAACAGGGTTGGGGTTAGGGAAATGAATCCGTCTCCTGTGGATGCACTGTCCTTCCCCATTCTTATAGTTTATTATATCTATCAATGTCTTTTTTAGGAGGGTTTTCCTGTGAATTATTGATAAAAGATAAATAATGAATTTGTTTTAATATGTTTAAAAAGACATTTTAAAAAGTATAAGTTAAAATAAAAGAGTCAAAATAATTGTCTGTCTGGAGGCAGTGTTTGGACCTGTGAGTGGGTCTTGTTCAGGCTTAGGTGCATGCCCGGAAAAAGAAAAAGGTATGTGAGTCTGAACAGACCTGGTCAGAGCAGAAATTAGGGTTAGGGGTGGACTATGGACTATAAAAAATACAATACAATACTTCTATAGAAGAAAACATTCCTGAAGGTTTAAAGGTTAGGGGTAGGGTTGACTTACTTCTAGGGAATGGGTTCGGCTGGACTGTGTGGAGAAAGGATTGAACCAGAGGGGCCATAAACCTCACACCGGTGTCCCTAGCTATTGTGTCCTGGTAGTCCAGCTCAGTGAGGTTCAGCGGGGCCGCAGCCGGTGCACAGGTGGTCAGGGAGCCCGACTGGGACAGGCTGATCCCCAGCAGCATCGCTCCAACGCTGGCTCTCAGCGCTCCAGCACTGCCCCGCAGCCTCCACACATCCCTCATACTCTCACACAACCCCATGATTACAGGTGAGGCAGGTGGGGAAAACTGGTTTGTAGAGTGATCACTTCATGGCACAGGGTTTTAAATAATCTGGAAAGGAGACCAAAAAAAGAGTGAACACAATGACACACTCTGACGAGGCAGAAGAATTAAAGCTTGGAGAAGAAACCCACAGACTGAGTCACACACAGAGAGAGAAGTCTAAGTGCTGTTTCTTTACAAAATGACAATGGACAAAAGAACTGCTGCTATTTTGAAAGATGAAACACATGAGTGGCATTTTGTGAAAGAGAAATCTAAATGTTCAACTAACACCAATTTCATTTCTGAGCTTCAATTTCATGCGACAGATATCCAGACACTTTTCTCTCTGACATTTAAAGAAAACAATGTTAGACACGGATGATGATTATAACCTGTCTGGGTCGTGCCGTCAATGCAGTGTTGCACGTAAACACACAGAAAAACTGCATCCGCCTGAGATACCCACATCCCCTCTGTTTATCCCAGTCTGCCTGCATGGAATTTGAATATTTCTCAGAGTGCACTGTGTAACCTGAAAGTGCTTTGGGGTGTAACTCTTTTAAGCAAATAAGCTCACAAGGGTGAAGCTTCACACTTACCAAACACATGCACTTCCTGCAAATCAGAATAAACAGTCCACCAGTGTTTTTCCCTCCTAATTACAAAGAGACCATACACTGAGGATATTTACTGCACAAACTGGGACTGTGGGAACAAGCTGTCAGAGCAGTTCTTCTAGATCAAGGCACCGGTGGCAAAATACGGGTGTGAGTGGAAAGAGGACACATTAAAAGAAAGAGGAAAGCAGAAGGAGCATTGAGCTGTTTTCTTTAACTCACCTTCCTCGGTAGCGGACAGCAAAGGACAGTTACACAGCTCTGATCTCCAGTAATTCTGTCAGGGGCGTGTGACTCCCACGGACTCTTCACAATCCCTTGGAAACCTGACACGCTCTGACACGCTCTGACTGCTGCTGTCAAGTTGAAGTTGACTGCTTGGAAGGCTGGACACTGACTCTAAAGGCAGAGAGAGGGAGGCAAAGAGAAGGGAATCCGAGGAGGGAGGGTCTTTTACAAGAGGAACAGGGAGAGAGGGAGGGGAAGTGGTGGTAAGGAGGCAATTGACAGAGTACCTTTAAAGAAAAAAGAAAATGGAATTTCTCCTGCTTTGCTTCCTGCAGTGTGTCAGGCTGACTTAATTATATTGGATCAACTCTGAAAAAACAAGGAAGAGCATGAATTTCAGGAAGTGGAAATAAACTTGGACAAAACAAGTCATCTGTTATGTTGTGGTGTAGAAATTAATAATAACACGGTTTAAATATGCAGATGGGAAGGATACACTCAGGGTCAGGAGATGGGAGTACGCACATCTACAGTAAATGTTATCAAAAACACAGAAATATCTCAGTGGGGTTAGAGATAACAGAGAAACCTCTGCAGCTCAAGACACAACAGCCACAGGATGGAGATAATATGATTTATTACCTAAAGTGTTATTGTTCTCATTAGTCCTCTTCGTCACTGTTTCTGAGGTTACTGAACTCCACAATCTGCAGAGCTGCTGTTCCCTGCTCTGCATGCCAGGACTGGCAGACTGTGCTCCTCTTGTTACAGGACAGAAGAGACAATTGCATGAGAAGGAACACGATCGAATCGCAGATATGAATCTGATTTCTCTTTTCTGACCAGGCGGAGTTGTGCACTTGTGTGTGTGTCCTCTTTTCTTGTTTACCTCATCAGCTGCACAAACACTTGTTGATCACTCTCTTCACCTCAACAGAGTCGTCAATTACAGGCTGATCCCTTAATCAACAGATTAAAGGATCTACCGAGTGCGACATGAAGAGCTCTTACCAAACAGCTATGGCACATGAAGACTGTAGACGCTTTAGTGATCTGCCCCAGTGATTATGAGTTCCTGATACGACGACACTGGGAGACTGACAGAAACGTGTCCTGTGAAAAGACACTAAAGAATAAATACTAGAATACATTTTATATCTCTTCCTCTCATTTTGCGTGGCTGAGTCCTGCAGCTCTTTTCACTGCCAAATCTTGACTGTGTTCCCAGTTCGGAGGCCGGTGAAGGATCCTATCCTCAACACTAGTGAGTCCTTGCTGGTGATTGCTCACAGGCTCCTCACCTCAGACAGTAAGTGAGATCTGTAGAGCCACCATAGCCAGTGAGTCTCTGGTGAGTCTCTGACTGACTTTGGACATAAACACTACAATAAACAACAAAACTGAGTTCACCCCTGTGCATTATGACGCAAATGTTATGCGGTTCAAAATACTTGCACAGTGACTGCAACGTCTCAAGAAGCTCGGCAGGAGAGGGATTTTCCAGGATGATAATAATAACCAGCAGAGTTGGTATGGAAGAAAAAAGTGGAAACTATGACTGTTGTGGAGAAGGCAGAGCATCAGAGCCCCTCCAGCAAAGAGCAGCTGTAAAGAAAGTCAGAACATCTGGTGTCATGATGAAAAAGACTTGTGTTGAACCTGAGTCTTAAATACTTTCACTGTCACAGATCTATATTTTTTTATTTATTGAGTGGCATCATTCTTCTTGGGCTTTGGCTAAACACAGAACAAATTGTATTAAATGAGTAGGATTTGTCATGACTTTATGTGTTGTGTATTGAATGTTTCCATAGTGAGATTTTGTTATTTTTCCTCAGAAAGCCTAAAGAGATGAGACGACTGTGACACATGGTCACAAGGTCAAGAAGTAGCTTGCATGCTTAAACACCAGAAACTTAAAACCTGAAGTCAGTCATGCGCCTGGAAAAGCTAAAATTGTTCTTATCTGAATCATCAGTGCTGCTCGTCTGTCTCCACTGGGCCTTTTGTTTACGTGTATAACTGAGACGCTTATTTGATTCACCAGCTCGGCCAAGAAACAATATCACATGGCTGTTTTATCATCTATATCTATTACTATACGGCTATTGTAACATGTTCTGTTATTAGCTATCTGTCCTCTTTTCTTGCCAACTACACATGGCTTCCATCTTCTAAAACTCCTCTGCCCTGCCAATAAAGTAAGGGTAACTTGCTAAATGAAAAAAGCTGGCAGATAGAAATAGGTCTCACTGAGAAATGCATCCTTGACTATTTGTAGTTAATAAACTTGAGGGCTGCAGGGTCTCGCTCTCATTCCACTTCACACTTGGTATCAATAAGAACATTCAATAAAGTGCTCAGGCCACAGCTCACGTCCATTTTGCAAGCAAAGAAAAAAGTGTATTATGTTTGTGTGGGACATGTTTTCTTGGAAACATGCCCCACACGATGAATCACCCCCACAAGGAATCACCGGCTGTGGGTGCACTTTCATTTCATGTCTTACAAACTCTCACGCTCCCTTATTTATGTCAATTAAGGGAACAGACAGAGCTGACAGTGACCCTTAAATTAAATCCTCTGTCGTGCTGCTGAACTGATAAACCACACGAGTAGGCCGGTGGTGCAGAATACAGATTTAAACACAGCAACCTGCAGCTCAGTGTTGATTTACAGATAAAATGATGGAAGAATTTCTGACAGGCTGCTCAGTCAGTACCTGAGCTCTGAGAGCCCCCTGCTGGGTGAGTCCGTGCATTACTATCCAGCCGCTGTGAGCCGGGACTCTGAGTGACACTGACGCTCAGACATTAGGCAACGATTTCCATGTTACAGAATGTGCAGTTATAAGAAACACTGACGCAGCAGCTTTATGGTCAAGCACAGCAAGTCTTTTATCCAGATAATACTCAACTGTTATGTAAATATCAACTTTGCATTTTGTTTTTGACTCATTTACAAAATTTTAATGCACAGGATATTTTTCGAATGAAGCAAAACCATAACTAATCAAAGCTCCTAAGAGTGCTTATGATGATTATTTTTTTCATTTTCACCATCTGTAGACCTCAGGTTTCTGACTCGCAATAAAAATGAGAAACTTCACAGCAAAAAAAAAACGACAACTTGGAAGTGGATGTTTTCTCTAAATGTGGTTATTTATTGGTTTTCAGTACATCTGACAAGTTTTCAGATAGACCAGAACCTTACAACAGCAGAGAATGGCTATTAAATATCTCCTTACTGTGAACATAATGAACCATTGTAATAAACAGGCCAGACTGACCCGGGAGCCGCACGTCAAAGGAACAAAAGTAATGGAATGACCTCTATTTAGCATCAACTGACTCAGCAGCCCCACAAACCCCTCCATATATTATCATGAGTATTGTACAGGTGGGTTGGACCTAAACAGCACGTCCGTACATAGAAAAATAAATACAGTTTGCTAAAATGAGGGCAAAATTCTTTTATCAGTGATTGTACCATTAAAAATCACGTTTAAAAAAACTTTTAAGAGGCTTTTCATCTCTTTACATTAGATTGAGTTTCTCATAGTTCTAGGGAGGAATACATAGAATAACTTTTACAGAAATGACTAGCTAAAAATATACAAGCACAGACACAAACAAAGTAAAGCCAACAGAAATGATTCAAAAACATAAAACAGCGCAGTGTAATCGATATCTAAAGACTCTTTACATGTAGCTCCTTGGTCTGCAGCTTTCTTAATTGTGATTAAAAACTTTTCTGGGAAACTTATGTTAATACAAAAGTCTTTTTTTTTTTCATCCTATTTTACAATCCTGTCAAAACTTGTTTTTTAAAATATTTTTTGAGTAGCAAATTTGAGATGTTTTCTGCAATTATGTTCTCTGAAGAGAGGACCCCCAGATAAGAGATTTCAAGACAAAAGCAAACGGTTTCTGCAATGATAAGACAACAGATCTAAACCAGGCGTTTGACGGAAATTTCGGGGGTCAAACTGGTTTCCAGTGTGCCGCTTTGGACTCGCATCAAAGGAGATGCGGTACAGTATCTCACACACTAGCCTTGTTCTCCCCTGTAGTGAAGCTAACGGACCTGATGACAGTGTGATGTCTGACACAGATAGATGACATATCAAGCATAGACTTACATGAAAGTTATTACCATCACAATAAGAATGATCTAACAGCAATACTTATACATTAATATACTGCAAGTTTCAGATGTTTTACAGTTCTTACATTAGCAATAATAGAAAAGGAAAACAAAATACACCGTCAATTCATAAGAAAAATAGATAGAGGTTTAATAGTGGAAAACAGTGCAAAGAATAGTCGGGGGTGTTTTTTGTTTGCTTGCTTGTCTGTTTTTTAGAAATTGTTTACAAAAAATTAAAAAACAAAACTGAAAACAAGTCTAAAACATAGAAAAATGAAAACGCACGTCTGTAGCGTCTGGTGCTCTGGTCCAGACAGGCTGCATACCACCTCTCTCCAGTACCTCAATGTTTTATGCTGTAGGTGTTGCTGAGTGTGTGTTAGTGTGTGCACTGGTCTGTGTGTATATGTATCATTGTTTGATTGGGTATGTGTATGAGGGTGTGTGTGTATTTGTGGGACAAAGAGAAAGAGACAGAGACAGAGAGTGAGTGTTTATGTATGTATATGTATGTGCGTGTGTGTGTGTGTGTGTGGGTTTAAGATTTAGCGTAGTGGTTCTCAACTCCGGTCCTCAAGCTCCGGCACTGTACAGGTTTTTGTTCCAACCAGGTCCTACAAAAACAAATAATTGAGTTTTTAAAAACCGAACTTTTGAATTTTGATACTAAGAGTGCACACAGTTCTCTGCAGCCTGCAAAAAAATAAGTTAAATAAAAGCTGTAGCATTTCCTCCCTGTGACATGAGCACAACAGAAACAGAGAGGTGCGTCGTCAAGGGAAACGCACGCCAGAGAGACCCGAGGTTGGAACAAGAACCCACTGACACGGTCGCCGTGGCGAGCACTCAGACACTAGGACACGCAAACTTTTGGCCAAAACACCATGGCGGGCGGCGGTGGCGGGTGAACACACATGCACACAAACCGCCACCTCTCACCACGCACCTAAGAGGACTGACTGAAGCCAGGCAGACAAGAGCCAAGGCTGAGCACCACTGATCATGTGCAACAATGTGAGGGAGCAAGAGTGGGATTCTGCTGAGCTTGTCCTTCATGTGACAGATGAGAGCTCTA